AATTTTTCTTTTTAAACTGTAACTGTGCTCCTATTGATCAAGTTGTTAATTGTGGAAATCTGAAATCTTATTATACTATCTGTTGAATTAGAAATAGATCTGGCAAATCTTTTCATATTGAAGTTTAAAGATATATAAAGTATGTGTTTAGTTTAGAAAATAGAATTCTGACTATTTTCAAACAAATTTATCAATCAAAGGTCTGTATATGTTTAGTTTAATGAATAATGTATTTGTTTGGTCGCTCTTATAGATTTTGTTTGATCACTTTATACTAAAGAATTATTTTCCAATGTTATTTACTTTGATGTCATACTCATAAATAACTTCTTGTACTGTTAAATCATATTTTAAGACTAATCAATTTAGTCCGCTTCAGAAACAATTAGTAATAGTCAGTGATGTATTGCTATAAATAGAAACTACTAGTGATAGTCAGGTAAGTATTACTATAAATAGAAACTACTGGGAACAGTGTTGTAAGTTTTACTATAAATAGAAACTACTAGTGATGGTCAATAAAGTATTTCTATAAATAGATACTACTGGTGATGGTCAAGTAAGTATTACTATAAATAGAAACTACGGATAATCGCCAGGTAAGTATTACTATAAATATAAACTACTGGTAACAGTCAGGTAAGTATTACTATAAATAGAAACTACTGATAATCGTCAGGTAAGTATTACTATAAATATAAACTACTGGTAACAGTCAGGTAAGTATTACTATAAATAGAAACTACTGATAATCGTCAGGTAAGTATTACTATAAATAGAAACTACTGATAATCGCCAGGTAAGTATTACTATAAATATAAACTACTGGTAACAGTCAGGTAAGTACTACTATAAATAGAAACTACTGATAATCGTCAGGTAAGTATTACTATAAATATAAACTACTGGTAACAGTCAGGTAAGTATTACTATAAATAAAAAATACTGATAATAGTAAGGTAAGTATTACTATAAATAAAAACTATTGGTGATAGTCTGTGGTGTATTATCATAAATAGAAACTACTGGTAATAGTCGGGTAAGTATTATTATAAATAGAAACTACTAGTGATAGTCAAGCAAGTATAAGCCACTATAAATAGAAACTACTGGTGATAGTCAAGCAAGTACAAATACACTACAAATAGAAACTACTAGTAATAGTCAAGTAAGTATAAGCCACTATAAATAGAAACTACTGGTGATAGTCAAGCAAGTATAAGCCACTATAAATAGAAACTACTGGTAATAGTCAAGCAAGTATAAGCCACTATAAATAGAAACTACTAGTGATAGTCAAGCAAGTATAAGCCACTATAAATAGAAACTACTAGTGATAGTCAAGCATCAAGCAAGTTTAAGCCACTACAAATAGAAACTACTGGTGATAGTCAAGCTAGTATAAGCCACTACAAATAGAAACTACTACTGATAGTCAAGCAAGTATAAGCCACTATAAATAGAAACTACTGGTGATAGTCAAGCAAGTACAAATACACTACAAATAGAAACTACTAGTAATAGTCAAGTAAGTATAAGCCACTATAAATAGAAACTACTGGTGATAGTCAAGCAAGTATAAGCCACTATAAATAGAAACTACAGGTAATAGTCAAGCAAGTATAAGCCACTATAAATAGAAACTACTTGTAATAGTCAAGTAAGTATAAGCCACTATAAATAGAAACTACTAGTAATAGTCAAGTAAGTATAAGCCACTATAAATAGAAACTACTGGTGATAGACAGGAAGTATAAGCCACTATAAATAGAAACTACTGGTGATAGTCAAGCAAGTATAAGCCACTATAAATAGAAACTACTGGTGATAGTCAAGCAAGTATAAGCCACTATAAATAGAAACTACTAGTAATAGTCAAGTAAGTATAAGCCACTATAAATAGAAACTACTAGAGTAATAGTCAACTAAGTATAAGCCACTATAAATAGAACCTACTGGTGATAGTCAAGCAAGGATAAGCCACTATAAATAGAAACTACTGGTGATAGTCAAGCAAGTATAAGCCACTATAAATAGAAACTACTGGTAATAGTCAAGTAAGTATAAGCCACTATAAATAGAAACTACTAGTAATAGTCAAGTAAGTATAAGCCACTATAAATAGAAACTACTAGTAATAGTCAAGTAAGTATAAGCCACTATAAATAGAAACTACTAGTAATAGTCAAGCAAGTATAAGCCACTATAAATAGAAACTACTGGAAATAACCAGATAAACGAAAACCACTAGTGATACAAGTGATAACTTATCGTTAGTATTTAATAATTTCTACCAAATGGTCGTTTCAATTTCTGGGCTCTATAACTTAAATACGTTGAAATTCGAATATTTTTTTGAACAAAATTACGTGAAGCAAAATAAAAAATTCTGAATGTGATTTAAGACACCGGGGGTGTTCGGGGAAATTGTGTGGGTGGTAACATCAAGTAATTTGTAAGTATTTTGATATAAAAGAGGTGATTATTAGGGAGGGGAGCCAGTGTTATTGTTAGGTATTTCTTGTATAGGTACTTCACATACAAACATAATAGCATGGGTATAATCACATCAAAATACCTTTATGCCTTTTTCTTTATATGAATTAAAAACTTGATAACCCCAATAATACGACCAAAGGCAATACATTTACCAGTTTACATCTGAATTCTACAGGAGTTTATTTTTATTTCATCATTAGATTCGTCTATTGAGTAATTTGAACTTATAATTTGTAAACATTTTTCAATGCCAGAAATAGCCCTAAAACGATTTTATAATTTAGTTTTTATGTGTTAAATTAAAGAGGGCTCGTGTTCATGACTTGTGTGTTGTATGCGTTACTATAAATCAATGGGTCATTTCTACAAACCAGAGAATGGTTTATTGTCCATTTGGCTCTACTCGGGCGATGTCACTCTTTTTCGAGGGTGGGAGTGGTTGGGTGGGTATTTCTATGTTACTCGCAATGACAAGAGACACAACCTTGCGATTCCTTATAAAATATTTTAACAATGCCTTTGTCTAACGAAATCTGGGAGCATGTCGAATAATTAAGGTCCCAAACTTTGCCTATCTGTATTTAAAACGACTACTTCCGGTGTCAGACAATCGATCATCGCAAATCAATGATTAAACATAATATACATTAGTTTTAAAGAGATTTAAGATTACTTTACCAGATATTCTAGAATTCTTGTCTTATCTTAGTGAAATTTTAAATCATAGCGAAGAGGGATTTCAAGCTGAAAGTAAGATCGTGTAATAAAAATAATTTGAAAACTTATAGGCCTATGACTAATTTTTGGCCACTGATTACCTTCTTCTTCATTGTAGTTGGGATTCAATCTGTAGCAACCTCGTGCATTACATAGGCTATCCATAATTTTCCTTGCAATTCTATCAGTTTTAAAATTATATAAACGTGTGGTTGGTGTGGTTGGTGTAGTGTTCTTAACTACCGGAATGTTCATAATGTACGGTAAAGCATCAATCAAATACCATCTTTGATAAAACGAATACTTTTAGTGTGTAAAATGTCATAGTACTATGAGAGTAGTTAACTAACTATCTTAAAGTGACGATATTACAACACCATGTAGGTAGAGGAACTACTAACACCACTTATTGTTATTACTTCCTCTTAACAACTTTCTTAACTTTATCAATTATTATTACCTTAAATATCATAAAACTATGGTGGGCTAAGTTCTGAATCAAATATTTGTTGAGGGTGGTCATTTATTAGGTTTAATATCCTACTCCACTTTATTAAATTCCAAAGGTGTGGGAGTCGATTACGTTGTTGCTCCGCTGAGTATGGCATAAGAAACCTCAAGATGGAACTTTAGCGATATTGGTTGTAAATACAATCAGATTATGATAGGCAAGAAAACGTCAAAAGGCATTCAAGGACCGAGGTAGAAGTGCAAACTAGCTGGTCGATTTAGGGATTCATTCATTCATTTACAATTAATAACAGGTGCCATCAATTAATGTTGAAATCAAAGACATCTTCACCTTTTTTTCCACAGTTTTTTGCCTTTACATTCCATAAGTGTAGGCTCCATCAAAAATTACTTTCGTGTCCTAAGAATGTACGCAAGACTTCAAAGATCGACAATTAACTAGTTTCATTGATTTTAAGATTAACCAATCGACACGCCGTATATTTGACAGACAGGTGAAATCAGGCAAGCTTTTAACCAATAAGGTGAGAGCATTATAAGAAGAGGTTCACGTGAGATTATCTCGAGATTTCTTTGATATACCATAATTCACCGACTCGTAACGTGCAGGTACAACACGTGTTTATATTTAACAGTTGGTTTTAATTTTCTAATTTATGGAAACAAGAATATTAAAAAGGAAAAACTAAATCTGAAGCCTTCATATTTCGTGAAGATAGCTGAATTAGTAAAATATTTTTATCGAATTTGTACACCAAACAGAATACTACACATATAGTCATTAATAACAAAAACGGATATTGTGAATGAATTTCAAACACAAAACAACTTGCTTAGCAGACGACAGAAAACATCAAAGGAAACCGCTTCCCGTTCAGGTGGATTGGATTTGTAATTTTCATCATTAGTCGTTCTGATTTAGAATGTCTGAACGTTGATTAAAAACACGGAGTTATTTGAATATTATAAGACAGTGTTTTTTAACCGTTGGGTGTCATTTTACTTAACTTGTGATATTTGTGTAAATCGAAGGCGGTTAAAATTGTGTAGAAAAGATAATAATGTGAAGTGTGAGAATTGCCTGTAAAAATATTCAATATTTGTTAAAGAGAAGTATTCTTAAGTGTTTTTATGGCAAAAGAATTGACGGGATGTTTTCTATGCACTATTTGACTTATTTCAAGTGTTTGAGTACCAACAAACTATTGTTCACACCGACTCAATGCATTCCACGCTCAAGTAGCCATTCAATACCAAACTAAAAAACAGGCTTGATTGATTGGAAATTTATTCGTTCTAACAAACACGTTAAAATGTTGTTAAACTTTAGAACTGTTTTTCATTTGTGTTGTGCGATATATCTACACATTGTCATTGTGGCAGGGGTTGTGTCCTCATATCACAGAGGAAAGCCATGGACACAAACAAATCAAGTCTACGAAACGGGTAACAGAGTCAAAAGGTGGTCGAATGCAGCCTTCCATTACGTGCATAATCTAAATTGTGACAGTATTTTCTTTACGACTACGAAAGAATGTCGCAGTCTGGTTTCCGTACCTAAATCTGCCATGAACATACATGTTGCATTACCGTCTGCTTACGGTAAATATAAAACTATACTACCCGACGATTCTCTGTCCAGACATCAGCTTCATCAAGCAGTGATGGTCGTGGATCCGTACCCCCGGGCTAATTTTGGTCACCTGGTAATAGTGTTCTATATAGATATTGGTGTTACAAGCAACATGTGCCAGAAATCTGGTGGAGTGTATTTAGGTAGGTTTCTCATTAGTTTTTTGTGGGTTATTCAAGGTCATTTAGCACATAGTTTTAATTCAAAACACCACTAATTATCAATTATTGAGAGTATCATACTGCGTTTACGAAGTATACCATTATATGAAGATAATATAACATTGCCGTCCCTGAACCCGGGCTACCCTCCTACGGTATGGGACATCCAACATCTAGTATCCTGCTATAACAACGACAGTCGAATTGCTTTCAACATCTAAATATCCTGCTACAACAACCGTGTGCGACTACTTCCAACACCTAACATCCTGCGACAACAACGGTTTGCGACATGCTTCCAACATCTGACATCCCCCTACAACAATGGTATGCGACATGCTTCCAAGATCTAACATCCTCCTACAACAACGATATGCAAATCGAAAAAGAAAATCTAACATTGACACCCTCTTACAACATTATCCTTCAACAACGGTATGCTACTTGCTTCCAACATCTAACATCCTGATACAACAACGGTATGCGACTTGCTTCCAACATCTAACATCATCCTACAACAACGGTATGCGACTTGCTTCCAATATCTAACATCCTCCTACAACAACGATATGCAAATCGAAGAAAATCTAACATTGACACCCTCTTACAACATTATCCTTCAACAACGGTATGCTACTTGCTTCCAACATCTAACATCCTGATACAACAACGGTATGCTGCTTGCTTCCAACATCTAACATCCTCCTACAGCAATGGTATGCGACATGCTTCCAACATCTAACATCCTCCTACAACAACGATATGCAAATCAAAGAAAATCTAACATTGACACCCTCTTACAACATCATCCTACAACAACGGTATGCTACTTGCTTTCAACATCTAACATCCTCCTACAACAACGGTATGCTACTTGCTTCTAACACCTAACATACTGATACAACAACGGTATGCTACTTGCTTCCAACATCTAACATCCTGATACAACAACGGGATGCGACTTGCTTCCAACATCTAACATCCTAATACAACAACGGTATGCTACATGCTTCCAATATCTAACATCCTCCTACAACAGCGGTATGCTACATGCTTCCAACATCTAACATCCTCCTACAACAACGGTATGCGACATGCTTCCAACATCTAACATCCTACAACAACGGTATGCGACTTGCTTCCAATATCTAACATCCTCCTACAACAATGGTATGCTACTACATGCTTCCAACATCTTACATCCTGATACAACAACGGTATGCGACTTGCTTCCAACATCTAACATCATCCTACAACAACGGTATGCGACTTGCTTCCAACATCTAACATCCTGATACAACAACGGTATGCGACTTGCTTCCAACATCTAACATCATCCTACAACAACGGTATGCGACTTGCTTCCAATATCTAACATCCTCCTACAACAACGGTATGCTACCTGCTTCCAACACCTAACATCCTGCGACAACAACGGTATGCTACTTGCTTCCAATATCTAACATCCTCCTACAACAACGGTATGCGACATGCTTCCAACATCTAACATCCTCCTACAACAACGATATGCTACATGCTTCCAACATCTAACATCCATCTACAACAACGGTATGCTACTTGCTTCCAAGACCTAACATCCTGCGACAACAACGGTATGCTACTTGCTTCCAATATCTAACATCCTCCTACAACAATGGTATGCGACATGCTTCCAACATCTAACATCCTCCTACAACAACGATATGCTACATGCTTCCAACATCTAACATCCTCCTACAACAACGGTATCCTACTTGCTTCTAAGACCTAACATCCTGCGACAACAACGGTATGCTACTTGCTTCCAATATCTAACATCCTCCTACAACAACGGTATGCTACTTGCTTCCAACATCTAACATCCTCCTACAACAACGATATGCTACATGCTTCCAATATCTAACATCCTCCTACAACAACGGTATGCTACTTGCTTCCAACATCTAACATCCTCCTACAACAACGGTATGCTACTTGCTTCCAACATCTAACATCCTGCGACAACAACGATATGCTACATGCTTCCAACATCTAACATCCTTCTACAACAACGGTATGCTACCTGCTTCCAAGACCTAACATCCTGCGACAACAACGGTATGCTACTTGCTTCCAATATCTAACATCTCCCTACAACAACGGTATGCTATACATGGTTCCAACATCTAACATCTTTGATACAACAACGGTATGTGACTTGCTTCCAACATCTAACATCCGCTTACAACAACGATATGAAAATCGAAAAAAAATCTAACATTGACACACTCTTACAACAGAGGTATGAGACTTGATTCCATCATGGAACATCTTCTTACAACAATTATATATGATTTACTTCAACGACGGTATAAGACTTCTGAAATCTATCGTATTCCTTCAATAGTACAATTCTGTTAACTTACACATACACCAACGGTGAGCGGTTTGTTTCACCATATAACCAGAGTCATGCGAGCAGACATCACAGAGGTATCTACGAACCCTCATTGATAACAAATGAATAGACCTAGTCCAAAAATAGGATACTCGTACCCCTTTGAAGGGGGTACATGAAATGTCTCTTGGACATAAAGAAGCAATCAAAAGCGGTTGATTCTGATTCTCTGTCACAGATTGATTGATCGAGGCATTTCTCTCTGCGCATGGTAGGTGGGTGCTATCGGATGTGTCAAAACGTAGAAAAGGTCTGTGGAGTACTTGGTGTAAGTGATCAACCGACTTATCATTTACTAAGGAAATATCGCACTCTACATCAGAGATGACAATACAGACTAATTAACCTGGTTACTTAGTCTTTTGATTAATGAACCGTTTATCAACATTCATCGTTTGAAAAAGAACAGAGAAAAAACCCATAGAATAACATTACTTACTTTAAACAATCACAACTGTCTTAAAAATTCATAGCGTAAACTAACTCAAATTGTTTATCACGCTGGACACGAAATACATCAAATGAAGCCTCGTTTTGTTACTTCCTGTTCTGGTCCTTCTGATTCTCTGTTACAGTGTTAGTTGCAAATGTCTTCAAAGTCTACTGTAAGCCATCATCGCGCACATAATTTACTTCCTATTAAAGAATTATTATGTTTGAAATAACAGTGAAATGTCACATATTTTGTCAGAGCAGAATAATTATCGTGAAATCTGTTCTGTGAAAAGGGAGCAGTCATTTGTGTTCTCTCAATGAAAGGATGATGTGGTAATTAATTAGTACACTGTAGTATACGTTTGACCGTAAAGACACAGTGCCAAGGGGTTTGAGTTTATTTTCTGTAAACCATACCAGGCCGGTATATGAGATTGTCTTCTTCAATTATATATTGTTATGGATTGTTGAAGGTATTTATCTCAATGGTCAAACTGTTAGCGATCTTATCTATAACAAACTGACTATTCGCTCTCTGATCAAAGCTGTAGCCGACTTTTAAACAATTATTTCAACTCAAAGTCATAACTGTAAATAATTATGGAACACCATAAGGATCGCGAGCGGGCTTCATGCAATTACATCCCAACTAAAAAGTACAATTTTCTTTGGACAATTTTCCTAATGCTTGCTTCGATCATGCAAACAACCCTTAAGGGTGACAAGTAACAGTCGGTGATCCACTAGTCGCAACCTGAGCTAACACAATGCACTGTGCAATAATATTTTTACTATTTTCTTGGCTAGTAAAACGACGATACGAGTATAATAAGTGAATAAAGTTTGTTGGACCTAGTTGCAGCACATAAACTTTCTACGTTCTTCTTCGCTGTTGGTAGATTCTAAACAGGATCAAACAACTGTCTGGCATACTAACAATTCTAAACTTTACTAGCAGAATAACAGACTAATAGGTTTAAACTTACTGCACCCCAAAACAACTTCAATAAAATCACCATGTACAAAATTCCACGCATGCAGTTGATATATCAACTATTGCTATTCGTTATCACCCATTTCTTATTTACAACAACATAAATTATCAAATTCTATTTTTTACTCCCCATTGGCTGTCTTAGACTTCCTTTGATCTTAGGCCAAATTACCGACATTTATTCTTTAAAACATTTGAAAAACATAACTTTAGTGTATTTAAAGTGATACTACGTCTTAGAATACACTCGTCCTGTGGCTAATATGTGTGTTTAATAGTGACCATTGGTTAAATAAGTATGCATCCCACACTTCATCAAGTTTGCGACAATAAAACTATAATCAAAATTTTTATAAAAAGTGAGCAAGCGACAAGTCCGTTCAGTTTGAGAAAAAAAGAGTCTGGGTAATCAACGCTAAAACAGGAAACAATCATCTTCCGGTGTATACAAATAAACTTTGCCAATGATTAATATTCGTTGAAAATTGTGTTAGTGATGGAGTATTCATTCTAAATTATATGAATTGCTTTTTCGCGGAGTTGCTTAATCTCCTACGAGGCATTATTATTCCGTCTTCAAAATATGTCTGACAATGTCGAGGTCAATTCAATAGTAGAGGTCAAGGTCGCAGGAAACCCCACTTGAGAGTTACTTCCCCTTGAAAATTACACCGGATTTCCTAGACTCACGATTTGAAAATCGCTTAATGGATGCATTAAGCGTTTTATAATTGATTACTTGATTTTGTGGATATATCGGATTAAAGAGGAATTTTGATGTATAGTTAGGACACCAGGTAAGTCCACTGATGGATATATACTGTTATTGGCCAAATTTGAGCAAAATTAAAATTTGATGTTCTTCCTAAGACGTAGTATCCCTTTAACGAAGTACAGAAGTATTTTTAAAATATACTCTGATAGTAGGGTAATGTTATATTCTTTATACTTTACATCTCCGGTTTCCTATTTATTGTTAATTAAATTATATTAAAGTGTTGAAAGTTTAATTCTAACACAGGATAGGCTTGCTTCTACTTGTATAAATTATTATTAGTATTTCTTTGAAGTCCAAAGGAATTGTGAATATTTTAAGTGTAGATCTGAATTTAGATT